ACGACGCTCTTCCGATCTCTTAGGTGGGAGCTCAGGGGCACCTCCTGCTCCTCCCTTGCAGTGCAAAGCAGCTCCGGGCTGTGCACTGCATCTGCAGGCCCAGGAGCCAGCAAAACGCACGGCACGGATGGAGCACGGAGGTGTGCAAAGCAGAGGGTTGTGCAGGGGGGTGGCGCTGTCCCAGCGTCCTGCTGTGGGCTGGGGGGGCAGCGAGGTTTTGCTCTCGGTGCAGAACAAAGGCAGTGGGTTTGGCGCTGCTTTCCCAGCACAGAAAGCAAATGTTCCCTTCCAACAGGCAGCTCCTGCACGCAGTGTCTGCAAAGCACAAGGCCCGTCCTGCGGCAGATACGCAGAGCAGCTGTTCCATCTCCTGCCCCAGTCTGAAGGATTTGGTGGAAAAAATTGCCCTTAAACACAGCCCTGAGATGGGGATTCATGGGTGGCACTGCGTTAATGGATTGAGTCACCCTGCTGTCGCCTCCCACAAATAAAAAACCACGGCCCTTTTGCATTGTGAGATAGCCAGGTTTGTCTCCATTGGATGGGTGATGGAGCCCTGAGCTGGGGGCTGGCCCTGTGCTTGAGCATCTGAATGGAAAGTTGGGGTTGGACCCAAATGCCAGAGGGAGACCAACCTGTGTGCGTGTGGCTGCAGGGATGGACCTGTCGGCCAACCAGGACGAGGAGGGCGACCAGGAGACCTACCAGCTGGAGATCAACAAGGACACCAAGAAATGCGCCTTCCGCACCTACACGGGCAAGTACTGGACCCTCACCTCCAACGGGGGCATCCAGTCCACCGCCTCCACGAAGTGAGTCCTCACCTCGTCCCCCCCCGCTGCTTTGGGACCCCTTTGCCTTCTCCATGGGTGCAGAGATTCGGGCAGCAGGGAGGAACCCAGGCGCTCAGCCCAAAATGAGAATTCCCAGCTCCCTGAGGAAGACAGGCGCTGCCAAAAACATAAAATCATTCGGGTTAGAAAAGGGCTATAAGATCATCAAGTCCAACCCCAACCCACCCCCACCATGACACCATTCGTCTCCATGTCCCTGGAGGTGTCAGGCATGCAGTGCCAGCTCCCGACTGCTCTCTGGGAGAACAAACCTTGCCTAATACCCCACCTGAGCCTCCCCTGGTGCAGCTGAAGGCCATCGCGTCTCTTATTGCTGTTATTACCTGTGGTCCTTGGGGTGGGGGTCTTTACCCTTATGGCTTCCTTCATCCACCAAAATCCCAGCCAACCTGGGCTGTCCCCAGCCCCTGGGGGTCACAGAGCCGCGCTCTGCCCATAGGAACGCCAGCTGCTACTTCGACATCGAGTGGTGTGACAAGCGCATCACCCTGCGGGCTGCCAACGGCAAATACGTGACAGCAAAGAAGAACGGGCAGCTGGCAGCCTCCATGGAGACGGCAGGTAAGGGATCTGGGGCTGTGAGGCGCCCTGGGGGCAGGTGGGTGCCAAATGGGGTCCCCACGCTCACGGCCGCCGTCCCTTGGTGCAGGTGAGACGGAGCACTTTGTGATGAAGCTGATCAACAGACCCATCATCGTGCTGCGCGGCGAGCACGGCTTCATCGGCTGCCGGAAGGTGACCGGCACCCTGGACTCCAACCGCTCCTCCTATGACGTCTTCCAGTTGGAGTTCAACGACGGAGCCTACAACATCAAGGGTGAGCCTGCGCCTTGGGGTGACGCGTGTGACCGTGCTTTGGGGGGGGCTTGAGGGCTCGGATGTCCCATCTGGGCCCTCGTGGCGGCTCACGGGTCCCCTGTGCCCACAGATACCACTGGGAAGTACTGGATGGTGGGCAGCGAGTCGTCCGTCACCAGCAGCAGCGATACGCCCGTGGACTTCTTTTTTGAGTTCTGCGACTATAACAAAGTGGCCATCAAAATCAATGGCAAATACCTGAAGGGTGACCACGCCGGGGTCCTCAAGGCATCCGCCGACACCATCGACGCCTCCACCCTCTGGGAATATTGATGCACTTTAGCGAGCCTCCCATTGCCAACCTCTCTTTCCCCTGTCCGTGTTTGTTTTTTTTTTTTTCTTTTGTTTTTTGTGTTTTTTTGATTTAATTTCTCCTCTCTGTACAAGGATTTCCAGCCTGGCTTGCCCTCCCCTTAGAGCCCAGTGCGTGGTGTTGGAGGTGGTCTCCCTTCATCTCATTAGAAACTGGATCAGTCGCCCAGCGGTGCGGTGCAGCCTATCATTCCAAAGGGGTTTTTTTCCCCTCCATCTCTGCTCGGGGGCTGCCGTGCCCACCCTGGCCCCGAGCATCACCTCAGCCCCTTCTATTTTCCCTTCCCCCCCAAAAAGAAACAAAAAAAGAAGGAATAGGGTCGCCTCTGAGCTCCCCTCTGCCATACCCTCACTCTGTGCCCCGAGGTCCCCGTGGGGCTGTGCCCCTGTTCCTGTCCCCAGCAGCAGGTCTGTGCCCCACATTGGTGACAGGAGGACAGGGTGGGGGCACGCAGCCCCCCTTCCTCCCCCATTGCTGGGCGTGGGCACCAGCTGGCAGCAAACCTGCAGCCGTGGGTTTGCAGAGCAGACAAATTCCTTCGCAAACTTTGCACAGTGAGATTTGCTCAGTACTTTTTTTGTTGTTGGTTTTTGTTTGGGATTTTGTTAGTTTGGTTTATTTTTTCTTTCCTCATTGAATACTGGAACGGTGATGCCAATCACTGAGCGCCCATTGCTGGGCTGGGGGGCTCCTGTGGGCTCCTCCTGAGCTGCGGCCGCGTGCCACCTCCTGACTGGAAACAGAAAACAAATAATGACCAAAACAGTATTTTTGTGAGCCTCTATTTATGTATGCTGTGGGCAGCACTGTGTTCTGCACTCGGTGCAACGATGCTGGTGATGCCCGGCCGTTCCTCGTGGCGTTGGGGTGCTTCATCCTTCGGCCTCCCTGCGGACACCGCAGCGCCTTTCACCCCCCAGCCCCAACCTGAGGCTGCTGGCGGTGCCACCGCCGTGCCATAAGCCGGGGCTCTGCAGCCTTAAAGCTCTGCCACCCCTCCAGCAGGGCTCGGTGCTACGCTCCCACCGCCCCGTCCCCAGCACCCGCTGCCTCCCAAGGAAGAAGTGTCCTGATGGAGCCCCAGTGGCCCCGTGCCCTGGCGCACACTGCTGCCTTCGCACCCGCCGTGTCTCCTTCGTGTCCCCCCACCCCGCTCCGGCTCTGTGTGACTTTAGGTCCTCACCTCCTGTCTCCTCTCCTCGGGTGTTGTGACCCTCCGTAAGCATCTCACTCTGAAATTTAAGTCTGGGGGGGTTTTGTTCGTTTCGGGGTGTTGGTTTTAGTACCTTTTATTTTTTTTTTTTTCCCTAATTATTATTATTATTTTTTTTTTGTAAGTGCCATTTGTATAACTTAAACAACGACAGAAATAGCTTCAAACTGGAGAAAGATGAATAATAAAAAAAAAAAACAAGACCTGCATTCGGATATGAGTGGCGACGCGTGGTCTGTTGGGGCTCAGGGGGTCCTCGCCCCGTTGGCATCCATGGGGCACAGCCTGGCAGCTGCAGCTGTGGGTTTGGGGTCAGGCAGCGCAGCCCAGGGCTCTGGGGGGAGAATGGAACTCATTGGCTCCTTCCTCCCGCCTCAAAGCCATCGCTGGATGGAGGCTGGGGCTCGTTCTGTGATGCCCAGCAGTCCAGAGGCAGCGTGGGTCAGAGCTGCTCCTCCTGGCTGATGGGGAGATAAAAAAAGGGGGGAAAAAAAAGCAGATCTGTGTGCGCAGCACATCGCAGAGCGGGGGTGGGACCCCATCCTGCAAACAAGGGCCGAGCGGAGGAAGGATGCGATTCCGCTGCCATAAACAAAGCAAAAATTAAAGCTGTGCAGGAAACGTCAGCACTGGTCGCCTTCGGCCCCGCGCCCCACCGAGCCGCGCTCACACCTCCTGGTTTCCATTTACAGGAGCGACTGGAAACCATTTTCTATTCCATTTCTCTCAGCGGCGTTCAGCTGGGGGAGGACGCGTCTGCTGCCCCCATCCCATAAGCACAGCCTGGAGCTGGAAGCCAGAGTGCACAGATTTATTTACAAAAACAACACCGAAAAAGAAAAAAGAATTCAAAAATTACAATATGATACAGGGAAACTCTGTACACACGGAATAGGAGAACGGTTTTACTACCGGAAGGTAAAGAAAAATATTTATTTCTTTTATTTCAATAAACCAACCTATTTGCTTTCGGCTATCGTTATACAAAGTTGCAGAACATGCACATCTTTACAGGGTTTCTTTCTTTTAATAGGACGTTTTTGCTAAGTGCAAATACTAAGTTTCTCTCCCCACCTTTAAGGCAAGTTAAACGGGACACCGCAATTAACCGTAATGAGTACCTGGTAGAGGATGCAGCCACGGCTCCTCCAGGACATGAGGGGACACAGCCAGTGGCTCTGCTGGCTGTGCAGAGCTTTGCTTTTGTAACAGAACGACCCAAACCAGCAATGGACTCAAACATGACCAGGAACCACTGCTGGGCATCTCCCAGGCCAGAGGGAAGGAGCAGCCCAGGCACACAGCACCACGGCTGTGAGGGAGAACAGCCCTATCCCTGCCCCTCTCTTGAATCCTCCAGGCCTCTTCTGCAGTGTGACGTGGCTGTGGGGCAGCAGGATGAGCCCCGTGCCCCAGGGAGGTGCTGGCACTGACCCACAGACATGGGGACAGACCCCCGGCACCACCCACCCCATGCCATCTCCAGTGCCACCTCACCACTTCTGTCCCTTTTTCTCTATCCCCAAACTTCTCCCTGCCCATGCTGAGATCCCGATACGGCCGTGCATCTTTGCAAAGCATCAAAAGAGGGAACGGGAGCCCGACTTCTGCTATCACAGCACTGCCTGTGCCGAGCACACGGCTGCTGCAGGAGAGCAGCAAAGGGTGCAGCTGTGCCTGCGAGAGATCCTGCAGTGCTGCACCAAGGCAGAGCAAATGCAGCCAGATGAGAGCTGCAGCACAGCACTGAGTGCCACCTCCATCCCCAGGACAGGCCCTGAGCACCCATCATCCACCTGTCAGAGAGGTGGGCAGGTCTCAGCAACTCAAGCACATTGGCCCCGGGGCTGTCTTCAGGTACAGACTAAAGAGGAAAAATAATAATTAAAAAAAAAACAGCATTAAAAAGAAAAAATAATAAGTAATAGCAGCAAGTGAATGCCACTGGGTTATTAATGCTAGAGACCACGGCACTGAGGGGTGGGAACGCTTGGTAGGATGCATCCAACCCACAGGAAATGTCTGAGAGCAGAGAATGGACTCTGAAAGGCAAGGAAGTGCTACCTGAAAAACAAACACAGCCCAAGGACACCTGGATGCTGGAACATGGGGGAAAGCAGGATGCAGCACAGCCCAAACAACCTGGGATCCACTGCACAGGGGGTGGGTAAGAGCCAGCCCCGAGCTCCTGCTGGGTTTGCCCCTCCAAACGCTTTGCTGCTTTTGGGGAGGCTGTTCCAGACACAAAGCACAGCCCCTGAATGCAGAACATGCTGGTGGTTACCAACACTGACACCACAGCACCCGGCACACACAGCTGTCCATTACCTACCCCTGACTGCTGGTGGGGATTTGGGAGGCCTGCATGAGAACAGCAACAGAAAGGCCATGTGCTGGAAGCTGGAGGGCAGCTTCCTGCTGGGAATGAGCACCTGAGCCTGTAGAAGGGGCAAACTGCTCTCAAGGATCGAGATGGCCGAGTTTTCTGCTTCCTGGAGCCCTGAGATGGGATGTGGCTCTGGGCTGCTGAACAAGAACTGAGCCATGAGGTGGCTGCTGCATCCCCTCACTCCATGCAGAGCGAGAAATGCTAAATACACTACATTAACTTGGTTTGGAACAATTTATTTCCGCTGGGAGGTGTTAGCAGGTTACAGGGATGCTGGAGAACATGGGAACCCCAAACCTTGGGCTTAGGGCAGCCGAGTCCCATTACCTTGTTCCTGAAGGTCTTACTCAGGTGCCAAGTCCCTCCTCCCTTCCCACAGGGCTCAGGCTGTTGCAGCTGCTCTGGCCAGCAGGAAGGTTGGAGTTTTGGAAGACTCCCAAGGATCTTTTGCATCCCCTGTGCTCCACAAGTCTCATTTTCCCTCTCAGCAGCTGTCTGAATAGTCTTTGCCAAATAAAAATTTTTTTTTTAAAAAAAAAAAAGGACTCCCAACATAGGAAGAGACCTCGGAAATGCAGCACCAAGCCCTGTTGCAGCACAGGTTGAAATGTTTGATTGTAAAGGTCCGGAGAAGCTATAGATAAGGGTGTAGTGCAGGCGTGTGCCAGGCACAGCAGCTCCCCTGCAGCTGGCTGAGTGGGGGCTGCAGCAGGACGGGGTGATGCTACCAGGGGCTTCGTCCTGCAGGGACCGACGCCATCCGAACGGCGTCAGAAGCGGTGCCGAGGCTGAGGGCCGAAGTGCATAGGCAAGTTGTGCTCCAGCTGAACGTTGATCTGGGGAAAATCATAGTTCACCCTCATGTTAGGCAGCGGGGGCACGTAGGGGGCGGGGATGGGGCCGATGTTGAGGGGGATGTTATTGTAGATGGGACGGACGGGGGGCAGCGGGAAGGGAGGGTGAACGAAGGGGTAAGGAGGCATCCGTGGCTGATGGAGGTTCTGAGGAACGGGTCTGGGGATGACTTCAATTCTCTGCATTTTCTCCATGGGCTTTTCCACCGGAGGGCCGATCCGCTTGAAGCTGTTCTCTGCAGAGGGAGGAAGGGGAGGAACCAGTCATGCCGCTCACCAAGCTTGGTCTGCAATCTGGCACCCACCATCCCCAGCACGCTCCTCAAGCACCCTTGCCCCTTCTCCTCCCAGAACCTCCTTGCTCCCACTCCCTGCTTGGAGCACAGGCACGAGGTTGGAAGGTTGGCTCCTTCCATCAGCAGCGCAGCACAAGCACACTCTGCTTGCAGATGTGTGGGGCTGCCCCTTGCGTGCCTCTGTTCCCTTTCCTTCCCACTGTCCCACCAACAGCTGCAGCCAACACTGCTTCAAAGCCAGGCAGGTTCCCAGCAGGAACAGCACAAGGGCAGCATGGAAAGAAGGCAGCAAACCCAGAGCTGGGAGCTCTAAGCTCTGCAGTCATTCTTGGTCTGACCTCAAAGCACAGAAACTTACCTCCGTTTTTCTTCCTCTGCTCCTCTTCAGCCTCCTTCTGAATCTCCTGAATTATCTTCTCGTCATCTTCCTAGGAATCAGAGCATAAAGAATCAGAATAATTCCTGCTGCAGCTGCTTTCTATTCTCTCAGCACAGCTTTTGGCATAAGTGTGTACAGGAAAAGAGACAAATTCAGCTGTCTTGTCTTCATCCAGGATGCCCCACAGTCAACCAAAAGCAAGGCTGTGACAGGGGGTCGCTGTATGAGCAATGTGCACAGAGCCAAGCTGGTTCCATGGAGAACACCTCAGAGGCTTAGATCAGCTTTCCAGGGAGATGAGTGCTAAAATTCATTGCCTTGATGGAAACCAGAGAGCTGCAACCCAGCTCCGCCCATCCAAAGAGTTGCTGGAGAGCTGTTAATCTTCTCAATGGCAATTGCCTATTAAATATTTACACTGTGCGAGCACTTCTTGAGTTTTTGGCCCAACAGCTGGAATTAACACAACTTAAATCCTGGCTCTAGTAGCTAAACGGTGCCGTAACGAGGCCATTTAGATCTTATCTGTAACTGTGAGGAGGACATAAATCACAGTGCGTTGCTGTAATATCTATCCCGACGTCACAGCTGGAATATTCAGACCCGCTGCTCAGTGAGAAACTGGAAGCATCCCTCTGCCCCTCACCTTCCTCCTTCTTCTCAACCCAACGTCGCAGCACTCAGACCCAGTGTCGCATTCAAAACACGCTGCGGGTGCCTTTGGCACAGCCAGCTTCCCAGCCCACCCCACAGCCCCACACAACTCCAGCAGCACCAGAACCTTGCTGCCCGTGCTCTGCTCCCACCACAGACAAGGTTTCCCCAGGAGACAGAAGTTATCTTCATCTGCACAAAGCCACCCAGCTCGGCACCTCCCAGCCTTGGATTGCTCCTTGAGTCAATGGTTAAAATGAAGCCTTTCCAGCACGTGGTATTTCATCTGAGCGGGTTGCTTCCACGGCCCGTTAATTACAGCCTATCCATCTCCATAAAAAGCGCTGAAGAATGGCTCCTGTGAGCCTGCACGGAGCTTCTGATAGCCCCGAGAGCATCAGATTGCAGCTGGAAAGCAGCTGAGCTGGACAGCACAGCTCCTCGCTGTCTGGGCAGTGCAGGGGTGGCCCCAAAGCTTCAGGATCCGTTCATTTTTGTCTCAAGAATATTGTTTTTCAATGCCATTGGAAACCAGATAGCTGCCTCTCCCATCCCACTGCCCTCACTGCAAACGTGCACCTGTGGGTTTGTTTGTTTCTTTAGCTACATGGTAAGAAGGTAACAAACTCAACGGAACACTATTCTCCAACTCCCTTCCCTCACACAAAGGTAAAATCTCACCTTAAAGCCTAGAAATGTTCAGGTTCCCTTCTACTTAAAGTTTGTTAGAGTCCAGAATTAGCTTCCTAAAGTACTGCTTTCTAGATGCTGCCATCCTACTGCCATCGGACTGCTACCAGCCACGGATCCATCCCATCCCATCCCATCCCATCCCATCCCATCCCATCCCATCCCATCCCATCCCATCCCATCCCATCCCATCCCATCGATGCTGCAGAAATCTGGGCTCTCCCAGCAACAGCACAGCTCCCTAGGATCCTCCTGCAGCAGGGGCCACTTGACCCCGGGTTACCCTGCAGCTGACCCCTGCACTACCTCCAGCCCCACAGAGCCATCTGCCCTCCGGCTTCACGCACCCCTGGGATGCTGCTCCAATCACTGCAGCTCCCAGAGAGGAGCAAAGGCACAAAGCAGCAAACCCCCATCTGCCAGAGCTGCAAAGCGAGGCCAGTCCGCAGGGATGACATAAACCACATCACCCTAAGTGCAGAGCCCATCTGCAGAAAGGAGCAGACCTCACAGGCTGGTACCCATTAATATCAGGGGAAGAGAAATGCACCGCACAACATGCACCTTCCTGCTTAAAAACAGCAGCTGACATGGGGTTTGGCACAACGCATTGGGTTCGGTAGCTGCGGTATTTTGGGAAGACCCACATTCCAGCTGGAACAAAACAGAGAGGGGGGTGCATGCAGTGAGGTAACTGGGGGCTATTTGGAAGGACTGCTGATGCCACGAGACCTGGCTGTTGCATGCTGCACTGTCAGGAGCAAGAAATCAGCCTGACCCCACTGCAATTGCAGGCATTCATTTAGGGGCAAAGCATCCACACCAAAAATAAGGTTTTCTTTGCCACGCTCGGGCTGGTTTGGTGCTGATGTCACATGGCTTGGAGGCACTGTTTCAAAAGCCTCTTGTGTCTGTTTGCTGAGCGGGTTCCCAACCCTTCATAAGGGCTGGATTATGATTTTCATCGCCCGCTCGCAGGCTGTGTGCAAGGAGGCATTGATCCCATCGAGTTAGCAGTCATCTTCCCGTCAGCTGCCTCGCCTACAGCAAAAAGAAATGGGAAAGGGGAAAAAAGCAGAGCCCCAAGCACTGAGGGGGCTGGGGTACGGTGGTGGAGCAAGGAGGGACCCCTTGGCTGTGAGGGACAACGTGCAGAGCAATGCTGCAGCATGGGAGGAGGGGAAAGGCGAGAGCTGGGAGCTGCAACCCCCTCCCTATCTGCGAGTGCTGCAGAAAGCAAGTGAGGTTATTTGCAGCACCTGCCACAGGGCTGGCTGACACAACAGGGCGAGATGTGCCCACACTGTGTGCAGCATCACATGGCAGTGAGCCGGGCACGGCCCCGTGCTGGGGCTGCACCCAGAGCAGAGCTGGGCACGGCCACAGAGCTGCTGGGAAACACGGGAGGAAGGAAATGCAGCGGTGAGAGATACTGAGAGCACTGCCAGCCACGCAGGGCCAAGCCTCAAACAGAACCGAGCCTCAAACAGAACCCCCTGCCCAGAACAACAGCATACCTACAGAGCTTTGGAAAGCTCTGGTTTTAGCTGCCTTCTTTAGTTATTAACTGCTGGGAGAAAAGGGCTGCTGCCTCATGAGGAGAGAGAACAGGACTGGGCCTGCTGTGAGCTGCACTCCCTGCCCAGCCTTCAGCAAGGGGCTGGGGGTGTGTTTGCCATCATTACCTCCCCCCTCTCCTTTTTGCCCTTCCACCGCTTTCTTTTTCCACATACGTGTGGCCACAGCCGTTCCCAATCAACTCGCAGTGATTTTCAGGCCAAAGGACTGCAGGGTTTTGTTTCAAATCATTCCCAGATCAGCTGCAGGACGGTGGGGGGCTGCTGGGGGCTGCTCCTGCAGTGCAGAGCAGGGATGGGAGCAGTGCTGCAGGGGAGGGGGAGCAGAGAAACCTTTTAGCAACAGCCATCGCTATTGGTGTGCCTTGATGGCTTTCTGGGGACGCCATGAGTTCACCATATGCTTCTGATTAAGGCATTACAGAGCATGCTGGAAAGAAACTGACTTTGGGGGGATGTTCCCCCACCACTGCAGACTTCCCTTCAGACACTGAACTCAGTGCATTTCATGCATTTTCTCGACGCAGCTGAATTTTTGCAGTCTTTGCTCAGCAGCTCCTGGTAGCAGTGCTAGAAAGACGGATAACTGCAAACAGCTCACAGCAATCAGCCTTCTACTTCCAACTTCAACGATGGCTGTTCAGGAGTGTTTTAAGGGTTGCTGAGAAGTATAAGATCGACTTTAAAGCCAAGAAAAGCTGCAGCGTGGTTTTATCAAGAGTTTAAAGGCAGCCTGGTCTGGTATTAAATGGGGAGGTTGGTGGCCCTGCACATGGCAGGGGAGTTGGAGATTCACGATCCTTGAGATCCCTTCCAACCTTCGCCATTCCGTGAGTCTGTGATTTAAAAACGGGCATTGAATTCAAGGTGATGCACAGGAGAGCAGAACCCAGCTTACCCAAAGCAGTCAAACTGCAGCACGGGATCAGAGCACACCACCTCCAGCGGGTCATCAGCCTCGGCTTTGCTGCAGACGCTCAGCAGCCAACGCTCAGCCCTGAGCCCCAGATCTGCCGTTTGCCTGCAGGATCAGCTCTCCCTGCTTCGTCCTGCAGCACATCAGACTTCACGCAGCCTCAAGGAGCAGCCGAGCCAGGGCAGCACGTGCCGGTACCCTGCAGAGCTGCACGGCTGCAGCAGAACCCCGCTCTGGTGCGATGGAGGAGTGCTGGCCGCAGCCCGGCTGCAGCTCATCTCTGAGCCGGCAGGCATCGCCCCATGCTTGTGAACTACAGCACTGGCAGCAGCCTCTCCTCAGGAGCAGTCAGAAGGGTCTGCTTTATTCTCCCAAGATCACCGCAGACAAAGACGCACAGATGCTGCCTCTACCGAGTCTTTCATCCTGAACCCGAGCCGTGAATAGGTCGATTTACCCCTTCTCAAGAATCGCTTCAGACTCAGAGAACGTTAAACGCCCACTGAAGAACAAAGCTTCCCTACTTGAAAGAAACCCCAAATCTGCCTTAAATAACGAGGGATTAAGCCAAGGCAGATTTTTCACCAAAGTGTGAAGCTCCCCAGGTCTAACAAAGCTGCAGTCTGTGGCCGTGAAATAAAAACAGACAGTGGCCCTATGGCTGCACCACCGGTCTGCTGTGAGCACAGCCCTGCAGAACAAACACGTCCCATCACCCCCTAAAAGCCACATTTGTGCACACGTGTGCCCTCCCCATTTTGCAGCAGTCTGTCCCAAGGACTCCTGGGCAATGGGCTGCAAAGCCCACCAGAGACAGACCTGTCTTCTCTGCTCTTGAGTGCACACAGAACAGGGCTGCAGCTACAGCAGATGCTCTCTTCCCATATGGACAGCACTAGGCACCCACTGACCACTACAGAATGAAAGAAGTGGAAGAAAAAGAGGAAATGGAAGCAAGAAAAGCCCAAGAAGATGCCATGCCAACAGGGCTGGGGTGGAACAGCATCACCCCTGACAAAGAACAGGACACTGCAATGGCATTTTGCAGGTTCACATCTAACGTGCAGATCCACACTCACTCCCCACTGCTCAAATTTCCCACATCACCTCCTGCTCACAGAAAGCAGATCAGCAGGAGGGACCGCACTGCTGTCTCCAACAGCATCACTCGCGCAGGGGGGCAATGCAAACTGGTACTCATCATTCACCCTGAGAAGCCAGCAGCGGAGTTTCACGTTATTTTCTGCACTGCAGCAAGGACAGTCACCCTGCTTCAACTCCCCACAACACCAAAAACAAAGCAGGCAGTGCCAGCTCTCTGCTGACGGTGGGAAATCTTTCTCTGCCACAGTATTGGTTAATTAGAGAGCTGGAAAGGGCCCGATGACAGTGCTTTCTTTGTGCTGCCTGCTTATTTATTTATTTTAAAGTACAGTATGAGCTTTTTTGAGAGGCCCCGTGTTTTCTCTGGCTCGGAACAAATGCCATTACTGAGCACAATCAGCATCCTGATGGGAACAAAGGACTCAGCACCACCAGTTGTGTCCCAGTGGGAAACAGGGAGGAGGTGCAGGGCTGAGGGATGGCACAGCCATGTGTCTGAAATGGGAGAGCCTGGAAGCAAGTGCCTGTGTTTAGTGTAACACCTCTTGCTGCAGATAACAGAATACAGGCAGGCAAGCAAAGCACTAGGAAGCTTACTCTGGTAGAAGGGAGAGATGCAGTGGCTCTGCTTTTTGCACCATGCCTGTGCAGCACTGTGCACGTTCCCAGCAAGAGATGCTGGGAGCAGGCTGACAAGCTGCAGCATCCTGAGACAAAGAAGCATTGGAACAACCGAAGCTCAAAGACGCTCTGAGAAGGCAGATCCACATTCACACCGCTCTGCTACTCTGCTGAAATCAGGAAACTCAGCTCCTGCCTTTGGATCTGTGGTAAGGGCAACCTCTACTCATAGAGCTGCTGCATGAAATCACTCCATCCCACAGCTACAAGAGTACAACAGAGCAAAGTTTCAAGTTACTTACTACAGCTTCCCTCACAGCACAGTGGTATTTCAGTTCTTCCTTTGCAGCTGTTGACAACAGCCGTGAGAACGGACACAACTGCAGCTTTGGCTCACAGGGATTGGCAGAGTGAGCCGAGCAGATAAGCAGAGCTGTGGGGCACCAGGAAGACAGCAGGTGCAGAGCCACAGCAAACAGCAACCTGGATGCAAAGCTAGGAACAAGTTGTGGTCAGATGGGACTCCGTGCTGATGTGGGCTTGCTTGACACTTGCTAGAGTGTTTTCTAGCCGCTCTGGGAGAGGAAAAATGTTGCACTGCCTAAAAACGCTCATTTCCCTCTATTGCAAAGCATGCATTTCAACAGCACTGAATGATAACTGAAACGAGAGTGCAAACTGCTCCCCAGCATCCTCCCTCACTTACTGTGGGATCCGTCCAGAGGGAGCACTTGGCGCAGTCCTGGCAGGGAGCTCCAGGTGAGCGGGGGTGCTGGCAGAAGTGGTCGTAGCCGTTGATGGCGGCCCGGCACAGGTAGCACATCTGCGCTCCGCAGCGGCACGACATGCGGTTGCAGCCCTCCGATTTGATCAGGCCGGTCCCACACTTGTGGCATTTTCTGATTCGGGCCGCTGTCATTTTCTCTTCTCTGCGACACGAGGGGAGAGGGAGGAGGATCAGAGAAGGGGTGTCTGCAGTACCGTCCCTGCCACACCATCCCGGCAGCCCCGCTCCCGCTTCTTCCCTCCTACACCATCTCCACGGTCGGCTGCTGTTCCAAGGAGGTCTGGGCTCAGTTCCACTTGGAGCCAGCCCACGACAACTCGAGAACAAATTAAGTGAAAGAAAGTCAATGGCAGCCTGCGTGCTACAGCCCTGATTCTGGTTTCCATGCGAGCCAAAACACAGCAGTGCCGGGCTCCGGATCGGGAGGAATTCACACCATAAGTCAGGAGACCAAAGGGCGCACAGATTCCTGACTCGGCTGCAGAGAAACACAGCCGAGGAGATAAAGCTGGGGAAAAGCAAACAGCTGTGGTCATCTGCCAGCTAGTTTTGTGTCCGGCTGTTGCTGTGGCTACAAAGATGCCATGACCACGTAGACTGCCTTCAATCCTGGCTGCTGTGCTACAGATTTATTTGGCTTTTATTAAATTTCAATCAGTCGCTGAAAAATAATCACGATTTTCCCCAAAGAAACTCAGCCTTTTCAGAAAGATTCTCTGCATAAGTCTTCCAGAGGTTATTGCTTTAGGTATGGAAGACAGGGAGAAGTGGGAAGGCAAGGCAGGGCACAGTCCCTGTCCCCAGCAGGCAGCCTGGCAGGGACTTGCTCTGAGCAAAGGTTTGGCTCGTGGCAGTGCTGTTTTGGCACAGAAATGGAGGAAAGCACCGGTCACTTAATTAAAAGACTTAAGAATACAAGTTGTCAGCCTGAGGGCCAATTTTATGACTGCTGGGGATCACGTTACAATTTAATTCACAGTTGAGAAGTGAAATTTGATGACAGCAGAAGGAAGGGACTGCATTTGGACGGAGGGAGGCACGGCCCCTTGGCTGCACTGACCCTGCAGCACAGAACCAGCAGCCAGCATCTCCACCCAGCTGCTCCAGGGGATCTGCAAAGCCAACATGTGTTTGGGAGATGACAGGGAAGGATTTTTAAGGAGGATCCCAGCAACAGAGCAGGCCACAACACAGCCCCTCAAACTGCTCCATCTGCAAAGCCAGAGGAGCGGTGAAGGGCCAAATGGAAAAAAAGGCAGCCAGAAGTGGGAATTTCAGCTGCCTTGCAGCTACACCAAGCTCCCCTGCAGCTATATCCAGCACGATGCGTGCCCAGGCTGTTGGAAATGGGCTAAGAATAGACAGGAAGGAAAAAAATCAACTTGAGGCTGACTGCTCCGAACGGCAGCTGCTCTTCCCTCCTCTGCTCAACAGGATGCTGCTGATTCAGACTTTTTTTGGAAACTCTGAGCGAGGCAGGAAGCTTGGCCCGAGCTCCAGCTGTGCTTCCCTTTCCTTACGCAGGGCTTCAAAAGGAAGCTTTCATTGTATCATGCACTGCGACTCACCTATCTGCTGCAGTGACCTGCCAAAGGTTTTTAAACTGATTTTTTTCCATATTAGGGACACGACAACTTGTTTCTCCTCCTTCTCACCCCTCTTTCCTATAGGGAAAGGAGTGGCAAGAGAATGAAGCCATATAAAATCTGTAACATCTTGCTCTCGAGTACAGGCTGCGGGATGAGCAAGTAACAGTCATTCAGCTTCCCAGCGGTGGAGCTTTCCAACCTCTACTCATACCAGACAGACTGAATCAGAGAGGAAAGGATTGGGCAACACAGGCAATTCCCCTCAGACTGCGCCAAGCATGCAGCCCCAAGGCTCAGCCCTCACTTGTTTCCTAAAGCCAGTGGATTTTGTCATGTACTGCAGCAAGGAGAGAAACAAGGCTTCCAAAGACGTTAGGGAAACATTTGAGTATTTCAGAAAGCGAGTCTATTTGGTAGAGATTCCTACCAACCAGTTAGAAACACACGAGCACATCCGTTCCCATAAGGCCAGAAAGCAGTGGCTGAGTAAGCCACATTTCAGCATGTTGTCACCAGTTGACATTTTCAAACGGTCCTGAGCTACTCTGACTCAATACACATCTCTGCCTCTCACAACACCTCCCTTCTGCCCCAGGTGAATGGAAGCAAGACTCAGCAGGCTTTCTCACCTCTGTGAGGCTTCTCCAGGTGCTGGCCTGTGAGACACTGGGCCAGCCAGAGCAACAGGCCAGGCTGCCAACAAGTCTCCCACATTCCCAGGTTACCACCTGGATCCTCTGCCAATTACCTTCCACAGAATGAAATCCCCTCCCAGGGGCTGTCTGCATCCTCCAGCTTGAAGTCTTCAGGACACAATGGAAGGCACAGACACCCAGCAAAGCTTCAGGGCTTCCAACATTTACAAGGACAGCTGATAAGGGTAGGATTTATCCTACCTTCCTACGTACCAGTTATCCCTTCCTACGTACCAGTTCTGTGCCTGGCATACTACTGTTACAATTTTATCCACTCCTCGTTTGTGCCAGCTCGTGGGGCTTACTTACATGGATGTCCTATACTTGATGTCATCCTTCTCAGCCAGCTGCTCGCAGGTGAGGTTCATGTGCTCCTTCCACAGCCCCTGGCACTTCCGACATGTTTCCTGAAGAAAAAAGAAGAGAACAAGCATTAAAGGATGAGAAGACCCAGCACACTACTGAGAGCATTAGGGATTGGAAGAATTCCCATCTCTTTCCCCAGTACATTGCAGATTCTTGCTTGAGAATGGGGTTGGCAATTCTGTGTAGAAATATGAGGCCTCAGAGGGTCTGTCCTCCACTAGAGATCACAGTGAGCCATCAATAACAGGAGCAATGGGGTCTCCAAGGCACGAGAATCCAGGAATAAAACACAGCTGGAGCTATCTACAACATTTTAAAGAGTCCATCCATAGCAGTCCACCTAAGACTCATGGAACAGCCAACAGATCAGCTGCAAACTTCCAGCAACAGGCTGCAGAAACAAAAACACGATGCTAAAGGTCAGCAGTGGGTTTCCTGTGGGTTTCCTGACCCAAACCTTTCACCTGCACGGAGGCGGCTTTCAGTTCAGCACACTGCAAAGCTTGCCAGTGTTTCGTGGCTGCATCGAAAACTCCTTCACCTCACAGGCATGAGGCTCTATATTCAGCTTTGTGAAACCTCACTAAATAAAGTTAGAATGGCTTACGTGAGTAAACAGCTTAAAAGCAGGATGTGGACACACATCCACAGAACAGAGTGGCATATGAACAAATATTTATGAATTTAAGCAGAACAGCTGAAATAAATTTAAAGCAAGTGACCAAACTCTCTTCTTCTTATAAACCTTCAGCTAGAAGGCTCAGCCCAGCTGGCAGAGCTGCACGGCGCAGGAGCTGTGGAGGCACTGCTGGCAACAGAGCTTGGACTAACACTGGGAGACAGTTGATCTTTTTCATTGGCCATCCAAAGAAAACATAATTGTGTTTTGGGTCAAACAAGAGATTTTCCTTTAATTTGAGGAAGATTAAAAAACATCCAAATCAAACTTGGAAGAAGCACATGTTTTGCGATCCAACCGTTTCATCTTCAGGATGGCTGGGACCCAGCCTTTAAATCCAACCTTCTCCCCTGGCAGGAAAACCATCTGGCTGCACAGCATCCTCCCTCCCTCCGCCACACGGCCCCACCAGCCTTGCCCTGCTCCAGTTACACAACCAGAGCACTGAGACATCCTTTAGGGTGCATTACCTTCTTTTAACAAAGAAATGGACAATCAATGAATATACACCACAATTAGCCGCTGTCTGATTGAGTTCTCCTCAGCTCTCGGCCTTTTCTCTGCTCAGAGACACACGTAGGCAGCAGAGTGCTTTTGATCACCTATCAGACAAACAGGATGGAGACCAAAGCTTCCAAGGAAGCTGCCCCTAGGAGGGTGCCAAATGTTGACTTGTTTGTGCTCACCGGGAGATGCCCCACAGCTTGTGCTTTCATCTCAGGAATTAAGGGCCTCTCGTGCAGCTTACCAGACAGGATACTTCTGCACGTTGCAGGGCACGGGGCTGTAGGAAGGGGAGAGCCAAGCACCCCAAAGTGTCACAGACCCTCCCTCCCTTTTCATTCACCACTCAGGTTGTTCCAAGATCAAAAATGCTGGATGGCTGTGCACACCAAGGGTTAAAAGCAGCTGCTGCAGCCCTGCTACAGAGCCACTTTCACATGCCAGCAACAAAGATTTAACAGCTTTTTGCCAGAAGGGTTGGCAGGCTCTCCAGCCAGGAGCCTGCAATTCTCAACTACTTAACTCCAGGAGCCTCTTTCGCTGCCGAATTAGATGTCTGCCCACAGCAGATGGTGCTGCTCGGGGTTTGGTACCAAGCCCTCCCCTTTGCCTTTTGCCATTACCACTGCTCTCCCTTCCAATGCCGTGGTTATTTAAAAACAACGCCTTCCCTCGAGCTGCTGCTGTTTGCCCAACAGTCGTCTCCTACACCTGGGAAAAAGGATTCCTTGACAGACAAGGAGGAAGGGAACAGGCACAGCACTTTGAGTCCCGACCCCAGCCGGGTGCCCCCATGCCAGGTACAGCTCCCGACCCCGCTGTCTCCTCCCAGGTTGAGATGGGACAGACGTGAGGATGCACGAGTTGCTACCGGAGCTCCACACAACTCCCCTCCCTGCTCGCCCAGCACAATGGCCCATTGTTTGTGGGTACAGCAGATCCCATTGGATCCCTGTGCACAAAAGCCCGTGGTTCAGGCAGAGGGAGCTGCTCCAACGCCATAACCACAGTCACAGCCGTCGCCTGAGAGCAGCAGAACAACCTCCTGCATTTTTATGCTTCCTTGAATCAAACCTGCTTGGCCGATGGAAGGTTTTGCACCTCTCACGCAGTAACAACTCCGATCTCGACAGAACTTGCACAGAGGGTTCTTTTATTTCAGAAGCAGCTTTTTGCTCGATAAGGAAACGTACTCCGCCATTTCCATATTAATGAACCTAAACACACAGTAGGATGGCTGATTTTCTGCAGCCGCCCTACGTTATCTCTATTGTATAACCTTGGCACCAAGACAGGCTACCACACAACAAGACAGCTCTAAACCCGCACAGAGGGGGAATGCATTCTTCCCAGCCCCTGCAGCTTCCACACCCACCCCAAACCCAAGAGGCCGCCCCGCTTCTCCTTCAGTGCCTGGAGAGCAGCATGCAATGCTGGAAAGCCCATTTTACTTGGGTTTTAGCAGTGTTTCAGTTCAATTCCTCGTGAATCCACTGCATTTCTCCTGCAGTTCCCAGGTACAGATACACAGCCCATGCTTCAGGTTTGGAGGAGCCTTGGCACTGGGAACCATGCACGGATGCAGGAGATTAAGCATCTCCTGCCTGCTGCATCTGCCCCAGCCTGGCAGGCAGCCTGGGACAGCCCACAGGGCACTGGGCCGGGACAGCAAAGGGGGGGATGTGATGGAGAGGGTGTTCCGTGGCTCTGTAATCTCCTCACCGTGCAGCTGTTAGAGGCAGAGCTCCATTTCCTCTCGCCGGCCGCCAGGAAGCAGCCGGGATTAACACAAACACGTTTGGGTTCAGGAGCATCCTTTGTTCTCTGGGTCAGCAGCTTTCTGTGCTCGGGGCAGCACGAGCTTTGGGCATTGCAACCTTTGAAGGCCCTTCTTAATTCCCCCTGCACCTCATGAAGGCGGAAGGAAGCGCCTTGTAGGAATGGACCTTCCTCAGCACTTCCACTGCTCCTCGCACCGCAGACGCTGCAGTTTTAAAACGCAGCCCAAACTTATTTTCTTTATGACTCCACCCTCCGCTAAAAATAACCCTGTGAGCTCCAGCCCACGTATGGGGGAAGAAAGCCCTGAGCCCTCAGCATCCCCCCAAACCCCAGGCTGCTGCCAACCTGGCCGCGCTGCATGGATGGAAACAGAGGATGCAAACAGATCAGGGGCTGTTTGCACGGCCCACAGCATTCCTGAGTGCCTGCTGCTCCTGGAGGAGTTCACACGAAACCATTTACTGACTGAGCAAAATGCAAAGAGGGGCGGCTAAGAAATAAAAACATGAGAACATCTCAGTGTAACCAACAGGCAGCACACGGGGCTGTCATCGCCGCCCTGCAGCTCGCAGCGGTGTCTCCGAGCAGAGCCCAGTACTTCCTTAACTCTCTATATGCTGCTAATTAAATCCTCCTGCTGCTGCCCTGCAGGGTCCCTCCCAGCCCCCATGGATGGACACGGGGGATGCTGCTGGCTGGGCTCCCTGCTGCGAGCCAAGGGGAGGCGAAGTGCATCGCAGCCCCTCGACGCTCGCTGAGACCCAGATCGATTCCCCGCTCCTTCCTTCTCTTAGAGACACAATGGAGCAGGGCTAACCTCAAACCAGCCAAGTTTTACTCCAAACCAGATGTGAATGCAATAGGCTCAGAATAGCAACTCCATACTGTGCTGGTTTAATTAAAGGGCAGCAGCTCCCAACCAGACAAGCTAATGGGAAAGCATGGCGAAGCACACAGCCTTCCTCCCCACTGAGTGCCCACTGCACTGCCCTCATCTGAAAACGGGTGCAGAAGTGGCTAAATGAGAGCACAGCAGGCACTAATAAGCTGTTGTGAGCAAGCTCCTGCAGGGCTCTTCCAGGGATTTCCTATATGTTAAGCCGGGATAGAGAGGATACAACCCAGCCCGAGATGATCCATTGAGGAGAGAGCCAGCTGTATGGGTGTACAAAGAGAAGGGACCGCAGCTCTGCAGGCAGTGCTGGCACTGCTCCCAAATGTACAAAAGCCGTGCGGTGTGGCAGGATGGGCGAGCAGTGATGAAGCAGTTGGTAGAGGAAATCAATGCGGGGTGGTTTCCTTCTCCTCCTCCTCCCCCCAAAGCACCGTTCCTCGGGCAGCGCTGCCGCTCAGTGGCTGCTGCTCACACGGCAGCACTGGGAGAAGCCCGGGGACGCAGGTCTGCCTGCCTTGCACAGCCCTGGTTTATTGCAGCATGAGAAATACAGCAGAGATGCAAGCCTTGCACTAGTCTACTAGTCTCTACAAATGTGCCAGAGGGCAGACATAAATGGAGCACTGTGGGTGATGGGGAGTCCAAAGCTGGATAAGGAAAATCCACATTTATACCCTACACACGTCAGCTGTGTTGCATAAAGCTCTTACAGCCACATATCAAACGACGCTACCAGAAGTGACAGATCCAGCCAATATTCTTGTTAAACTGAGCATGTCAAACCCCCACCTTCGAGACACTGCAGACACGTGGTGCCTTCCTGCTTCCAGCAATGCACACGGAGGGTGAGGATGCCTGTAAGACACAGGCAGCTTCTGAGGTTGGTGCCATCCAAGTCAGTGCTTGGCAACTCCTGCCCTGCACCTGCCTGAGGTGGTGGCACACTCACATCTGCCTTATCTACAATTTAGAATCACGACGGTTGGAAAAGATCTACCCAAGATGGCCAACCCCAACCCATCCCACCATAACACCAAACCAGTTCCCTTTGGAACACCTCCGGTGCCCCACCACTCCCTGGGCAGCAATGCCAGTGCCTGAACACTCATCCAGAAAAGAAACGTGCCCCTAACATCCAACCTCAACCTTTGTCGGTGCAACTCAAGGCCATTCCCTCATCC